CTAAAAATCATAAGTTTCTTGAGCCTGGGGCAGCTGTCCCTATTTGGTTAGCACAAAAATGCTGAGCCAATAAGGGACAGCCAGCTGTCCCAGGTGGTTAAAAGATGTCTTTTTCAGGCTGGGGAATATTTTCCTTTATTGGTTTTTCAGCACATAGCCTTTTAAGCCTATAAGTAGTGCCTTTCCCTTCATTCTCATGGACAGATTATAGAGCATCATTTTACTGCACAAAAGTTCTCTTTTCTTTTTTCTTAGAAGATCAGATTTCAAAAACTTTAGAAAACATCCAAACTTCTCATTTCTGATTTTTTTAACAATCTAAAAAAAATATGGTTTGAAATAGAGAATTTTTTCTTGGGTTCTTTAGCTTGAATTTCTGGTTTGAAAAGATGATTTGATTTGGTTCAAACTTCTGATTTATTTGGGCTGTTGTTGATGTTTGTTTGATTTCTGCTCCTTCAAGCTTCAACTGATATTCTTCGTTCACCTGCTTACTTGCTGGTTTATTGCTGTTTGTTCAAGGTACTATGCCTGGCCATTTTCATGTAAAGCTCTTATTTAAAATGATATGAAACTGAAGCTGCAAGAATTTATATGATAATGTACTCTCATGATTAACTTGTGATTGTGTTGATTGGATTTGATAGTAACTGGCTTACCTTGATATGCATTTGATTGGTTTTAGTTATGTGTGTTTGAAGTTTGAGAAATGATTCATCATATAACTTAGTCAATACATGAGTGTTTTTTGTGGCTTTATCTTGTAAAAATAGCTTTGCCTTATAGCCAAGTATTTAGGATAACAATGCTGATTATGAGTTGTTGGAGTGGTGTTTTTTTTCCTTCCTTCATCTGATGACTTTTCCTTCACTTAAAACCACTGTTTCTCTTTCTTTGACTGTTTGGCCATGAGCTGCAGCCTGCAGATTTGGCCACTGGTTAGCCAAATCGGCAGGTTCAAAAGCTGGAAAATAGAATTAAGCTGTTTCTGACAAAACGAGGCTGAGCTCTAATGGACAAATCATGTCCAAAAGGGGCAGAAATTCTTCATGATGTCGGTCAGGCAGATTTGTAATAGTTTAGCTCCTAATATGGTTAGTTTGTGTAATAAGTTTTAATGTAAGGCATTTGATTTTTAAAAGCTGTTTGGTTTACTTAAAGACTGTAATGCATTAGGATTTAATGTCATGTACTAAGACACATTAAGAATTTAATTATATGTTTTGATGTATTTTTCAAAATAGTAGTGGTGTAGTGGTGCTGGATTTTGAGTCCACTCAGCAGAACCAAAGGCTGCTCATCTGATGGAAAACGGGGCTGAATTTCTAGCCCAAGTGAAAGACTGGCCTCAGATGGTTTGGGCCTAGTCTATAGGCCCAGACTTTAAGTCAGTCCAGAAGCCTTTTGTCATGAATCATTTTATGTTTAATTGATTAATTTTCAATAACAGAATCATGTTTAGTCTTTAAATTCTATTCCTGTTTAAACGTGTAATCAATTGATGAATTAGAGCTATGTTGTATATCCTGATTTTATTTGAAAGCAGATTAATTTTTAATTGTTATAAATGTGTGAGTAGAGGTGGACAGCCCAGTTAGGAAACAAATAGTGACTGGGCCCGCCTCTTTCTGGTCCAATATGGGCCAGCTTTGTTCAAACAAGAATTCGGACCAGTAAGAGCTTGCTGGAGCTCTTTAGATTTTTCCTTGGGCCAAGTCTTAAGCCCAGATGCAGCTTCTTGCAAAGCTGAGCCCTTCCTAATTTAATCAAGTAATGAACGCCCTAGCTTAAATCCCTTTTCAAGAGAATTAATTTAAACTTAGCCCTTCTAATTAAGTGTAATTTTCCCCTAAAAAGCAAATAGTTGAGGTGTGCCATACCAAACAAAACCCATAACTCATGGCCCACATAAATTAGATTAAGAGTTAATATTAATAGTTGCTATAGTTAAATACTTTTCCTTTAAAAAAGAAAAGGTTTGAGGTGTGCCATCTATAAATTAGATCATCCATGGCCCTCACAAATATTATAACTTAGCTATTAAAAATGAATATTCGTAGAAAAGCCTTTAGGCGCGATTTAATCTACTATTATGATTGTGTACACGTTCGCGTGACATAATTACGATTATAAGAACAAAATCGGAGTATGCGTTCGCGCAACTTCGGCCAAACTTTCTTAGTAATAACAAAGCGTTATTAGTCGTGGACACGTTCGCGTGACATGATTTTTGACACGCCAAACAAATGGGTACACGTGCGCGTGACCCGTTTCAAGATAATTTCCTAATTAAAAAGGCAAATGCATATAGGTTCTAAAATAAGTAATTAAACAATTTGATTAAGCCAAGTATGATCAAAGTTACCATGATAAAACTACGGAACCCGAGAATGCCTAACACCTTCTCCCGGGTTAACAGAATTCCTTACCCGGATTTTTGTGTTTTGCAGATATTATAACAGAGTCAAATCTCCTCGATTCGGGATTCTAGACCGGTGACTTGAGACACCATAAACTATCCCAAGTGGCGACTCTGATCTTAATTAATAATCCCGTTTAAATTGTCACTTAAATTGGAAAAAACTCCCTTGTATACCCCTTTCGGGGTAGAAAAAGGAGGTGTGACAGGTCTCAAAAGGTTTTTCTGTTGGCCATATAGGGGACTGGTAGTGGAACGAATAGGTTCAAGGGAAACTGGAAGCCAAGAAACCATCATATTTGAAGCTAGTAGAGAGTATAGACGAGGGGCAGAAGAGGGCTAACATGGAGGTATATAACAAGGCTAGGAAGGAGGCAAAGTTGGCAGAAACTGTAGCTAAGACCGTGGTGTTTAGTCATTTATACGAAGAAATTGGGGATAAAGGCGGGGACAAGAAGTTCTACAGTCTGACAAAGGTGAGGGAGTGGATGGCGTGGGATGTGGACTAAGTGACGTGCATAAAAGATAAGGATGGCAGAGTTTTATTGGAGGTGGCACAGATTAGGCAGAGATGGCACTCTTACTTCCATAAACTCTTGAATGAAGATGGAGATAGGAGCATTGTGCTGGGAGAGTTGGAGTACCCGAAGTGACATTAAGATTTTGGGTACTGTAGACGCATACGAGTGGGGGAGGTTGTAGTGGCTATGCGCAGGATGAGTAGGGGTAGACCGACCGGGTCCGACGAGATCCCGGTAGAATTTCAAAAGAGCATGGGTAAGGCGGGCTTGGAATGACTTTCTAGGTTGTTTAGCATCATTTTTAGGATGAAGATGATGCTGAAGAGTGGAGGCAGAGTACGATCATTCCATTATACAAGAACAAGGGGGATCTCCAAAACTTCAACAACTATAGGGGTATCAAGTTGTTAACCCATACAACGAAAGTGCAGGAGAGGGTGATCGAAGAGAGGATGAGGAGGAGTGTGTCTATTTTCGAGAACCAGTTTGGTTTAATGCAATGACGGTTAACTACTGAGGCCATTCACATTGTGAGGAGATTGTTAGAGCAGTATAGGACAATGAATAAGGACTTGCATATGGTGTTCATTGACCTAGAGAAAGCCTACGACAAAGTCTCGAAAGAGGTTCTATGGAGATGTTAAGAGGCTAAAGCAGTGCATGTAGAGTATACTAGAGTAATTTAGGACATGTATGATGGAGCTAAGATACGGGTCTGGACAACAGGAGGAGACTCTAAATACTTTTTGATTAAGATGGGGTTGTATTAGGGATCAACACTTAGCCCATTCATGTTTTCCTTGGAAATGGATGCATTGACGCGACATATTCAAGGGGAGGTACCTTGGTGCTTGTTTTTTGCGGATGACATAAACCTGATTGATGAGACGCAAGGTGTTTTTAACAAGAGGCTGGAGGTCTGGAGACATACTCTAGAGTCTAAGGGTTTCAAGTTGAGCAGGACCAAGACAGAATACTTGGAGTGCAAGTTCAGCGCTGTTATCCAGGAGGCAGACGAGGATGTGAGGCTTGATATGCAAGTCATTCCCAGGAGAGAGAGACTTTCAAATATCTGGGATCTATAATTCAGAAGGATGGGGAGATTGATGAGGATGCCACACATCTTATCGGAGCAAGGTGGATGAAGTGGAGGCTCGTGTCTGGTTTCTTGTGTGATAAGAATGTGCCATTGAGACTTAAGGGTAAGTTCTACAAGGTAGTGGTTAGACCGACTATGTTGTATGGGGCAAAGTGTTGGCCAGTCAAGAACTCTCATGTCCAGCAGATGAAAGTAGCTATAATGAGGATGTTGATATAAATGTTTGGGCATACTAGGTTGGATAGAATTAGGAATGAAGTTATTCGGGAAAATGGGGGAGTGGCCCCCGTGGAGGAAAAGATACGTGTGAGGTGATGCTGAGATGGTTCAAGCATGTTAAGAGGAGAAACATAGATGCCCCAGTCAGGAGGTGTGAGAGGTTAGCCTTGGGGGGTAAGAGGAGGGGTTGAGGTAGGCAAAAAAAGTCTTGGGGAAAGGTGATCAGTCGGTACATGGCGCAACTTGAGCTAACCGAGGACATGACCCTGGATAGAAGGGTGTGGAGGTTGAAGATTAGGGTAGAAGGTTAGAAGATAGTCGTTTGTTTTCCTTTGTCTTTCCTAGTTTGATAGTATTAGTGTTAGTACGTTACCCTTTTATCCTTATTTTGCTATTATTGCATTACTTGTTCTGTTATTACTTGTCTTCGGTACTTCCATAGTTTGCTAGCAGTACTTCGTTCATATTCTCGTTTGCTACCTTGGATTTAGTTTTCTAAATATATTGTCTTGTTATTACTTGATATTGGTACTTCTTTCATATTCTCTGTTGCTATCTTTGATTTAGTTTTCTAATTATATTATCTTGCTATTACTTGCTATCAGGGCTTCTTTCACATTCTTTAGCCGAGGATTTATCGAAAACAGTCTCTCTTCCCTTTCAGGGTGAGGGTAAGGTTGCGTACATCCTATCCTCCCTAGACCCCACTTTTCGGATTACATTGGGTTGTTGTTGTTGTTAATTAAACACAACACGAAGCAACAACTACATACTCAGCTTCAGCAGTTGACAAAGCTACATAGTTTTGCTTTTTGACGGCCCAAGACACAAGACTTGAACCAAAAAAGTGTGCCATACCTGAAGTACTCTTTTTATCCACAAGAAAACCTTCATAATCAGCATATCGTACTAAATCAAAATTACTACCTTTTGGATACATTAGGCGAAAATCGGTTGTTCCTTTTAAGTATCTCAAGATCCTCTTGACTACCTTCAAGTAAGATTCCTTTGGATTTGCCTGAAATTTAGCACAAAGGCCTATACTGAAAACAATGTCAGGTTCACTAGCAGTGATATAACAAAGAGACAATCAGTCCCCTACACATTTTCTAATCAACAGATGAATCAGGTTCATCCAAATCCAATTTATGACTGTTGGAATAAGAGTGTCAATTTCATTCGATGTTTCTTCCTGGTTTTGTTGCTGAGGAATAGGTTCATGGACAAGTTCCCTCAAAGATTGAGGATTAGTTTCTCTCTAGTCAGTTCCCCCTGTCAGGTTGCTCTGCGTGGAAGGACCTGGTCCATCACATGGTCCTTCATGTGATACAGCTTCAGGCCAAACATCGGTTTCTCCATTTGAATTTCTTGTCAGCCCAATCTTGTTCTTTCCTCTCAGTAAGAATGTTAGTTTCATCAATGATAACATGCACATTTTTTTACACACATAGTTCCTTTATTGTATATCACATAGGCTTCACTATGTGAAAAATATTTCAAGAATACTCCCTCATCATTTCTGGGATCAAACTTTCCTAGGGAGTCTTTTTCATTATTATGAACAAAGCACTTGCATCCAAATGCCCTAAGATGTGATATATTTGGATTTCTCCCTTTAAGTAACTCATATGAAGTTTTCTCAATAAAAGGTCCATTCATGCATCTATTTACGATTTAGCATGCAGTGTTCACAACTTCTTCTCATAAGCTTTGAGGCAATTTGCTAGCAAGTAACATAGTCCTAGCCATTTCATACAAGTCCTATTCTTTCTTTTGACTAATTTATTTTGCTGTGGAGTTCTATGAGCAGAAAAATTATGATCTATTTGTTGTGCATTCTTCAACTCAATACCTAGTTGTTTATGAATTTTTCTAACAAATGAAGTGAACATGTCAAATGCTTCATCTTCAGATGTTAAAAATAGTTTTCAAGTAAATCTACAGTAATCTTCAACAAACACCATAACATATTTCTTACCACATCTGCTCACTGTCCTCATTGGTCCGCACAGATCCATATGGACCAGTTCCATATATCTGGTAGTACTCACCATTTTTTTACTTTTGAGAAAAAACTTTACATGCTTCCCCCTTACACAAGACTCACAAACTTTATCTTCCTTGAGCGTAATGTTAGGCAGCCATATCACCAAGTCCTTGGAGACAGTGAGTGCAAATCTTATTCTTAGAAAGTGTGAGGTACTTGCTTTTGAGATCCCATTTAGGTGCAGAGTTTCCAAATCCAAGTCCCCTTCTGTTTCTAATATGATCTTCTTGTAGCTATGAAAGTGCATCAGAGGACATGTTCCATTTACATATTCTATATAGTTGATGATTAACCTTAGTGAAGTCCCCTTTCAAAGCTCTTACTTGTTTATCCCTTTTATATAACCCAATTTCACCATTCCTAAATCTCCCTCTAGCGTGAGTCACGTGTCACTAGCTATTTCTTTACATGTTCCTAACTTCAATTTCAAATTTTCAGATCTAAGTTCTAAAACAGCTATATCAAGTGCATGAACCTGGTTCTTAATAATAGTTTTTTCTTTTTCAGTTTCACGAGCTCTAATTTCCATGTTTTTGCACTTTGCTTTTAAAAAGTTACTCTTTTGACAATTGTTCTTTTTCAGAATTTATATTATTAAATTCATCAATTAAAGTTAACAATAATTTTGATAGTCTATCTTTAGAAAGGAATTAAATTTTATCCTTTAGGTCTATAAAACTTATCTCATATTTTTTATCAGGTTCATCTTCAGACTCTTTAATTGCTATAAGAGCTCGCTCAGCATCATGATCATCATTAGTGACTTAGTGTCCTCATCTAAACTATTTTCCGAAGCAACAACCATCACTTTGGATGACCCTTTGTTGTAGTTCTTTTTATCATGAACTTGGTCTTTCTTCATGTTTCTTATTTTAGATCTCTCCTTTTTCTAATCGACTTTCCACATATGATAGTTCTTGATTATGTGATTCTTTTTTACCATATTTGAAGCATCTATAAGTCATATGCAAGTGACCTCTTCCCTTCTCCTTCTATAAAGAATAATAGCGATAATTGGATAGGGAGCGTAGTGGTGGATTGTTCTTTACACTTTTTAGATAGTGAACTCATCTTGATCTTTTCCTAAGGTGTTTTTCTCTTTAAGGATAATGTGCTCTGATAGCAATTGATGCTTTATACTTCAATACCACACAAGAGAGGGTGATTTGTGTGGTGTTTAATTTTCGTGTGCACTAGATTAAAGAAGGACTCAGTTCTTCTATGTGTTCCTTACACTACATTTGTGGAATAAATAATACAGAAAGTAAAGAACATAAGGATTTTTACGTGAAAAACACCCAGCTCAAAAGTGAAAAAACCATGACCTACTACCCCGTAGAACTTTCCCAAACACTTAACTACAGCTCTGAGCCAACAACAAAGTTTACAACCTCTTGCAAACCTAAGGATTAACTCTAATCCTTGTAGCAACATATCACAGTTGTTGCGACTACTTCAAGTTAAACCCTTGTTTCCCTTGTTTTACTTCAAGTTAATTCAGGATGATAAAAACTTGATTTGGATTGATTACGAACTACGATTAACTACTAAAGTAAAAAAATTGACTGCAAAGAACTAGAGATTAGCAGAGTTGGTTTCATATCAATGTGAGGAATAAGGGTTCGACAAAATAGGTGCAAGATAGCTATTTGGGATTTAACTCAAGTTTAATTCACTCTAACGTTCTAATGATTCTCATGAATTCACTCGATGATTAGTTCAAACGTGTAGTCAAAACTCCTCTCTCGATTAAATCTTAACTGTATAAGGTGAACTAATATAAGCACTGTGAAAGTATGCACGAACCCGTTAATGGATTAGTCTTTAGGAAAACGCCTCTCGAATATTCTCCTCACTTGATTTAGTCAACAATTCAACAAGCGTTTTCGATTACATAAGAGAATAAATGAATTAAATCAAACAAAATAAGGTAAAGATAATCACCAAAATGTTCCTCTTTCGATTAAATGAACCGGTGAATAAAGTTGCAACAATTCAAAGCTCCATAAACGAATTCAAGCAATGAACTAGAGTTAGAATCCATAAATATTTAAAACACCATACCCGTCAAACCCTAAGAGAAACTACTCCATAATCATGGAAGAAATCATCACAAATATAATTAAAGAATAAGAAAACATCAATCTAACATTACAATCCAAACTCTTGTATTGAAGTGATGGAAATATGACAAAATCCTGTGTCTTGTAGCCTCCAATGCTCTCCCAAAGTTTTCAAGGTAAAAAGTCCTCTAAAATTTGTGTTTTTGATGTATTTATACTACGTACGAACGAGCCCGAACGAAACTATCCTTTCCAAGATGAAGTGGAAAAAGCTAGACGAGAAAATACCCTACCGCGGCGCACCGGGCGACGTATTATGTGCCGCATTAGTGGGAAAGTTCAGAGGCCTATTTTCTTACTTTGCAAGAATTTTGTACTAGCGCCCCGCTGCGCATGGAGCGGGGCGGTAGTGCAGTTTTCTTAGAGTAATTTTGTTTTCTCACTTTTTTATATCCAGACTTGGTTCTCAACCCCCAAATGTGATCACGGCTTAATTTCTTGGGCTTTTACTCAGACTTCAATGCTCCAACTTGTTTAAATTAGCTCCAAATTATCTTAATAGCTCGGAATAATTTCCTACAAGGCCAAAAATACGTAATAAGCTCAACCACAAGTAAAATGCAGTGATTATAGTATAAATTTTGACTAAAATATGGGTTTCTAGCCTACCATCAACACCTCACACTTGAACCATTGCTCGTCCTCGAGCAATCAAACTGCACTTCACATAGAGACGACCTTCTTATGAGACAACTTCCTAACGCATCATGCCAAGAATATTTAAAGCAGACTAAGCACCCTATCATAACATCCTAGCCTCAAAGACTCGACTCAAAAGAACCATGTATTCATTAAAAATTCGCTCACTTTCTCTAACATAGAGGCCAAAGACATCACCTTACCTTCGCAAATAATGTGTCCTCACACTAAAGATCGAGAGTAGTTCCACACACAATAATATTCTAGAACAAATAGGAACTCAAGATAGAAAGAATTAACTCACTCCCAGAAATAAAATTCACGCGCCACAGAAAACGTACTATAGGATTGCCCAAAATGTAGTAATCTACTAATTTGAGCTCATTCAGTCAAGGATCAAGTAGGACTTTATTTTGGTTGTAATATAGGCCGCAGGACGGGTAGGATACATTTGGATATAGTAACTATACCTCCCTAAGCACTTTAATTAATACATACAATTTCATAATTTAAACCCCACACTTGTGTTGAACCAAACCCCAACCTTCATACATAATAGCATCAAGCTCCCAATATCTTTAAGCACAAACAAGATGAGAACTAAACTAGCATGGAATCCATTTTTTTAAGTTTTGATTTTTTTTATTTTCAAGCAAACGCACTCTTTTTTTCTTTTCAATTCCCTACAAGTGGCTCTCACAATTTTTTCCAATAACGCACCTTTATCCATTTTCAATAGTTTCACTCAAAAACCCAACCATACCTCAACTTTAGCTTTCACAGGCTCATAACAATTTCAGGTGCTCAAAAGAGGTAAAAGGTTCAAACAGATAGCCAATTCAAATAAAATGGATCAAGATTGTAGTATGGCTGCCAAAGAAGTAAGATTACAGGCTCAAAAGGGTTAACTAGGATACACCACAATTATGCGGGTCACGAACATATAATTGGCTAAATAACGAAATGTCTATATCACTTCCTAGACTGAACAAGACTATTGTTTCGCTTTGCAAACACACGGGGCAAGTTCTAGACATCAACTGACATGCACAGAATATCACAACAACCTCTCACACACATTGACATATAACTCACTCAGGAACGGATCTATCCTGACTCTCTAGTCAAAGCAGTTAAGCAATGTTAAAATAAAACAATTTAAGGCACTACAATACATGAGTCAAGAACTGAGCCTAGGCGTCACAACTAAAGAAGTCACTATTCTCAAGGCACAACAAAGTTAAGAGCAATTATCTCCATTTAATACCATAGCACAAGACTTCTCTACTCTTGACAAAAGAAAAACTAACTACGCCCGGTTCAAGAAAAAATCCCTGAAAAAGAACCGCGGAACAAAAAAATACCAAGGAGAAATTGTTACATTACCTAAGAAAATAAAACAAAAATAAAAGACACCTTTTTTTTCTTCTTCAACTTTAATCCTTCAAGAAGACAACCAAGGAAATCCATCGTCAGGAAAAGTCAATTTCTTTTCAAAAGAATCAAAAGTGATGAAAACAAACACACATGTACATATTTATATCATCCCCCACCCTACACTTTAAATTGTGACATGTGCCTATGATATAAAAATAAAAATCAAGAGATAAGAAAACTTCCTAGATTCATCTAGTCGGGGTCTAATTGAAGCCGGGATCACGTTTACATGCCCAACTTAGTGCACACATCCATGTTGAGAGCCTCTTTTCGACCTTCTTTGGGTACACCCCATACTTATCATTATTATTCTCTCCAATTTGCTCATTTAGAGCCCCCATTGCTTCTTCCATCTAGAAGATCACCCATCTTCCCCACTATGAGCATGAGCTGCCTTTTCTAAATGTCCAGTATTTCTCTGCCAGTAGCAAGAAGGGTCTTCCTAAAATCAGGGGGACCTCCCTATTTTCCTCAATGTTCACCACAATGAAGTCCATAGGTAATAATAATTTGTCCATCCAAACTACCACATCATCCACTATTCCTTCAGGTATGATTGTGGCTTGATCCGACGCTATAAGGACACAAGTATCGACCTGACTTCTCCAATCTCTCCCTCCAATTTCCTGAAAATAGACAAAGGCATAAGATTAATAGGAGCACCTGAATCATACAAAGATTTTTTAAATTTAGTACTTACTAAAGAGCAAGGTATAGTAAAACTCCCCGGATCTCCACACTTTTGAGGGAGTTTGTTATGCAAAATGGCACTACAATGCTCTGTGAGCTTGACAACAGATGTCTCTTCCACTTTTCGATTTTGCACACTAGTCTCCTTCAAAAATTTAGCATAAACTGGCATCTATGATAGCACCTCTATGAAAGGTATATTCACTTGCACATGCTTGAGCACTTCTAGAAAGCTCCCAAATTATTTGTCCAGCTTCTCTCTTCTCTGGTTCTGCGGGAAAGGTAGAGCAATCATATATTTACTTTCTTCAGTCTCCTCATTTATTGCATTCTCATCTTTCTTCTTCCTTTAAGATCTAGTCTTCCCCTTCTTCTTCAGACCATCATCCACCATCCCTACAGCTTCTTGACTATTGTCATTTTTCTGCTCCTCCACAATCTCCACCTGTCTTTCAATCAGCTCATCCTTTTGTTTTGCCCCGGGATCCTCCAATATATGCCCACTCTTCAAAGACACTGCATTTATTGTCTCTTTTGGATTTCTTTCAGTATTAGTAGGGAGAGTTCCTGGAACCCTCTCAGACAATAGATTAGCTAGTTGCCCAACCTATCTTTCCAAGTTTCAAAAAGCTGTGCCCAG